CGTGAGAATAAGAGCAGTACCAAACAAGGGAAGCTAATGGTAAGTAATGAGGCTGATGAAGGGGTGAGTAATGTAGAGCCTGTGGAGAGTTTACAAAACAGTTTATCTAATTTCTTATTATCTTCTAGGTCAAATTGACCTGTTTCACACAGGAAGGTATTAGGGACATTTATTCCCCCCTTGCCAGAGCTGTTGCAATGAATCTGAAATAAATAATAATAAGCAAGGGCCCCTGGCTTGCCAAAAAAATAATATGAATCCTTAATTATTACCGGTCACTTTGACATGGTTGCAGAAATTGAGGCTGAAGAAGAGTTAAATTGTGAAGAATTAAGCCAGAATGTCTTGTATCTTTGAGTGGCTTACTGTGATTTTCTTTTTTCACAGGGACATTCACAGAGACTTTCACAGAACATCACGGAATCCTCAAAGCTCTTGTTGTGCAGCAGGAGACTACCTTTCATCCCCTCCGACTTACCCCTTGAAGTGTGAGAAACGTTATAATACTCACCTGCATTCTGCAAGGGCGGAGCAGAAGGACCTGGAGTTGTAGAACGTAACCGCCTGTTGACCACGTCAGAGCACTGGAAGAAAGACAATGTGACAGAAGACAATCAAACTTATTCATACCATGTCTTGCATAATTCAAATTGAATAATTACTCATTGTTTGTGAATTGAATAGTTAGATTTAGTGAAATTAGATGGCAGCTAATATATTATTTAGTTTTGCTGCTATATAAATGAATATGATCATTTTGAGGACATGTACTCTAGCCCAGTAGCTTAAATATTGATTTGAGTATGCAGTGGGTGTTATACTGTACATTCTGTCAGTTTGTTTCTCATACAATGTATATAAGATGTTGAACTATGTACCATGAACATGACACAACTAAGTACATTTTTAAGAGAGGTTATCAACAAACCAGTAGGGAACTCCTCCCTGGAAATGTGTTTCTTCAAGATCATTTTGTCAGCTTGTTGCATATTAAATATGTCTCCATAAAGAGGGGGCACCCTGCCCTTTTCACGTAACTTTAAAGTACAAATTATTAGTTTGAGAACAAAGTTAAATTAACCCTGAAAGTGTGTGGCTGTCCACAACACTCATTAGACTCCTTGACACACACACCCCCTGCTACCCAGTGTAAGGTTTATGCTGCACTCTTGATCTCAACAAACACACACACACACACACACACACCGGGTAGACACACACACACACCGGGTAGACACACACATACACACAGCAGACACACACGCATCAGGCACACACACACACCGGGCAGACACACACACACACCGGGCAGACACACACACACACACACACACCGGGTAGACACACACATACACACAGCAGACACACACGCATCAGGCACACACACACACACACACACACACGGCAGACACACACTTTAGCCAACATAAAGGGAGCTCTGGTAAATTACCCATGACAAATCCTTACAGGTTCCAGGCCACTAACAAGCACACCCATAGAGTACAATCCTGTGCCAACATTGGGCCGCTGATAGATGAGAGAGGAGAGAAGAGAGAGAGCGAGAGCGAGAGAGAGAGAGAGAGAGAGAGGAGAGAGAGGGAGCGAGAGAGAGAGAGAGAGAGAGTCAGATAGAGCGAGAGAGAGAGAGCGCGAGATAGAGAGAGCTCTCTCTCGATCTCTACTCTCTCTAGATCTCTCTCTCTCTCTCTCTCTCTCTCTCTCTCTCTCTCTCTCTCTCTCTCTCTCTCTCTCTCTCTCTCTCTCTCTCTCTCTCTCAGACACACACCAACCCACACACTGGTGTTTGAACAGGCCACATGCAGTGGGACGAAAGCAAATGACGATAGCTTTTTATGGCAAAGCTGATTTTACGTTTCTGATGTGGGCCGTGTCACCACTTTCGTATGATTATAAAAGGACAACCCACGAGGAAAGAAATCAGCATTTTGGGTGATGAAGTAATTAATAACACCAAAGCCCTTTCCTCCCCATGCTAATGTCTTACTGAGGTAATGTGCCTATGGAGAGCATTTGCTACACCGCTGTTATTAATGTTATTAATGAGAGAATCATTGGTAGTTGCCTGGAGAGCTGCTCTGGTCTGCACTGATCAAGCTTTACATAATTCAAACACTGCTACCAGCCCCTGGTTAGTCTGGATGTGATATCAAAGTGGAAGCAAATTCCAGTGTTGTTAATATTAACCTATGGAACAATTAATAAGTACGTTGCTGCTAGGAAGAGATTCATGTATTTTTCTTTATGGGATAAGCTTTTGTTGTTTTTTTGGACGTTTAGCTGCAATCAGATGTCAGACATGCATTTTTTGATTACCTTTGCTGGTAAGAAGCAGTAAGCTTTGTGATGGGCGCCTACAGGTGGGACATCTCACAGTAACCAGAAGTAGAACCCCGGCTAAGCAGTGTGTGTGGGACCACCTTTGCCTGATGAAAAAAAGAGAGTTTATTGAGTTTCTTCAACAGAAAAAATAATTAAATTGACGTGTTATCATTGACGGGTGAATATATCCGACGGAAGAAAAAGGATGTGAAAGCACAATAAACTGAGACATGAAGCGTTATCCATTATGTGCAGTTGATTAATACGTTCATTTAATAATCGATGCCAATTCCAAACAGATGTATGGACCTAATTGTGTATTCAGAATATATTACTTATTATGTTTTAGGAGATCTTTGAATTCCTGAATTATGTACAATCCGTGAATAGTTTCCAGAATATGTGAATATAACAAACTGATGAAATTGAAATGCTACTTGGAGGATATATGAATTGTTGAATGCTTATTCACAGGAATAAAATATGTGTCTATTTACCATATGTAAGCTTTAACACTACTACTGTTGCCTATGTTTCACTTCCTGAGTGCTATGAAGGAACAGGCGGCTCCCTAAAATGACAGGTGACCAACAGCAACATCTGCTGAGGTGGAGAATACAACAAGGTGAACAAACAGCAGCCACCAGGCCTCGTGTGCATGTCCATTAGTGGCTTCAAGCATCCTTCACCTTTCCCCCACTTTGTGAGCAACTGACTGAGGGCTTCACAGCTTTCAAAACAGCAGATTATTACAGATGATAGTCCACACGAGGAGGAAGTGCAGTGACTCCCGATTTGCTGTTGTGCGAGAGCTGTTGTTGAGACATCAGTGAGATGGAGCCGCCTGAAGGGAGACTTAACAAGAGTCATAAAAAAGTGTGAAAATGTTGTGATAAAAGCCCACTTGAAGAGCACATGTACCTGTGCCATGTGACTCGTGAAAAGCAGGCCATCATCATTATTGTCTGTAAAGGACCAAAGGTATGGTACATGGAAAAATAACCTGCAAAAGCAATTTCATGTACAGTACAGTCTACATGTAGCAAATCGTATGGAGACTTCCATCTCTTGCTATACCGTGACATTATGGTTAAAATACATTTGTAGTGCATGTGATATTCAAATTTTTTGTAAATACATAATCTGTGATTCAAAATATTTAAATATAAGTAATGTATGTATACAGTATATATATATATATACAAATATTTGTGTGCAAAATGACACAAGTTATCATATTTTAAGTATTTTTATGTATGAATGGAAACTTGTTACAACATAGGAGATTCTCCTTTGGAAACAAATAAAGTTTTTATCTGATTTATTTGTTTATAATCTTTTTAGTAATTATACACTGAGAAAACTGAAACATTGACTTGAAATACACGTATAACGTCACACATGTTCACATAACTGTATTAGGTTAGTTGAAAGCATTAATATGAAGTTGAACCGAATATTTTGTATTTAAACTTAATAGTATTGCTTTTAACTAACATAATACAGTTATATGAAATGTGTTGACATGATGCATTTCATTACAGTCAATGTTGTTTCAGTGTGTAGTTGTATAGTTTGCAAAATGACCATTAACAGTGAATTCAGCTATACATGTGGATTGGTCCTGAACTCTCATTCCAATAACAATGAAGAGCCTTCACCCGTGGGCGATGCAAGGGCCGTGTTCAAAGTTCAGAGGTTAGACTTGGGAGTGGAGAAGATATTGCAAGCAGGGGCAAAACACCATTTATAGTACACATTTGCATAGGAAGAGGGAGGGATTCGCTCTGTGCTAACTTGATTTTTATAGTTGGCTTACATGAAACACTAACAAATATGCCATTTTTACAATAGACTTTTTGACTTTTAGTAATGAAAGTAAACATGTATTAATAATGAACAAAGTGTATGCTGAAAAAAATTACAATCCTTTTCCAATTAGAAACATCATTTGATTAAAAAGAAAACGATGAAACATTTGGTAGGCTGATTTATTATGAAAGCAGTAACAGCTTGATGTGTAGAAGTGCTTATGGGATTATATCTGTGTATGTATCCAAACATGCAGACAGGAGTCCTGTTTAAACATCCCATCAGATAAACTGCTGTGTTTGTGGCTGCAGAAGCTGCCAGGTCACTCAGGGAGAGTAGACAGACTATTATCATGATCACTCTCCTGTCACACAGTCACACATCAATGCAACCAGGCCATTAGGGAGTTATACAGGTACTTAATGTTCTTTACCGTGGGGGGTATGTCAGGTTACGTAACACCTGCACAACCCTGGGGGGGGGGGGTGGTAATCAAAGCTGCTGAGTACACTTGACTACACAGCACATGTTTTTGCACACTTGTGGCAGCTCTATATATATGTCCCTCCCTCCCTCTCTCTTATACATGCACCAACACTCAGACTGAGAGAATTGGGTTCAAATGTGTAAATGTAAGCTATTTTTCTATTCAATTGCTTTATGCTTTCTTCAACAGACCCATCTTCGCTCCTGAGTAAGAGGCTAAGCGAAGAGGATGTTCAAACTAACAATAGCAGGTCAGCTGTAACATAAGAAGTCCTTGGAAAAATGTGCTTCAGTCAAAAAACATGTGATAAGAGTCACGGCTGGATTTCATTTCTTTATTACTCTTGTAGAAAATGTACATCAAAGACAATACCATACGAAATAGAAAAATGGCTCACAGTACTCACACGTTTATACGTTTAAACACAACAACGGCTGTACAATACTGCTTTGGCATTTCAAAAAACATGTACTAAAGTGCAATATTTCCCATTCCTTTTCTCAGTTGACTACATTCACAGGTTTGTTTTTTCTTTTTCACAGGTTTTTGTTCACAGAATCTTTTACAAATCTCATCCTAACTTGTGTGGAGACATCGTAAAGTGCAGATACAGTAGACACGATTCTAGCATCACATCCACTTTGTGTTTGTAAAGCATTCACTGGCAACTGAAAGCAGATTGTCAGCGGTCAAAGGACGCTTTGTCTTTTTTGCTCTGTCTTTTAATCACAAATACATTTACACAAAAGGAGCCCTAGCACATTTTTTTTAGACTTCACTTGGTGACCTGGACCGGTAGGACTTGTTGGTCTGAAAGCAGCCACAGAGGAGCACGTAGAGGGAGCGCTGGATCTCTGCGTTTCTGTAGGCGTAGATGATGGGGTTGATCATGGAGTTGTAGGTGGCTGGCAGCAGTGTAGCATAGGTGTACACTGAAGGATACTCCCTCTCTCCGACCAGGCAGTAGATGGCGAAGGGCAGCCAGCTGGCACCAAATGTCCCTAAGATGATAGCCAACGTGGACACCCCCTTCTTAGTGGCGACATAGTGCGGCGTGGCGAAAAAGTGCTGCTGGAGGGCGATCTGGTGGGCGTGGTGGCACACAATCTTGCAAATCTTGAAATAGAGGGCCAGCATGAGCACGAAGATGACGAAGAAGGAGGTGGCAAGGAGCGTGACGTTGATCCTGGTCAAAGGGCGGACGATGCTGCAGGAGGCCGGGTCGTCCAGGCAGTTCCAGCCGAGCACAGGCAGCAAGCCCAAAAACAGAGACACCCCCCCAGGTCCCCAGTAACATCAAGTGAACGTACTGCAGCGTCTTCTCTGAGAAGTAAGTCAGGGCGTTGTAGAGGGAGAAGTAACGGTCCACTGTTATGGCCAAAAGGCTGCTGATGGACGCAGTGAAGGAGGTCACCAAGAAGCCCACCGTGATGAGGCTGATAGTCTCAGAGGAGATCACGTACTGAAACACAAAGTTCAGGATTAATCCCATGCCGGCTAGAAGGTCCGCTGTGGCCAGGCTCCCGATCAGCACAAACATGGGAGTCCTGAGGGTCGGCGTGTAGAAGATGATTGCTACCACGATGGCGTTCTCACAGGCGATGACGGTGCCTGACATGCAGAGCATAATGTCCCACGGGTTGATGGCGAAATCTGCAGGGGCGGTGGAGAACTGCAGGCTGCTGTTCAGCTCCGGAGAATCAGCCTCCATCCATGGGAGAGCTTCTCCAGCCAAGAGAGTCGCAGAGGAGTTGTTCAGCACCAGAGACTCGTTCATATCTCCGAGCGGTCGTCTCTTTGTCCTGTGAGGAGAATAAGCAGATTGGTTTGTTAATGATAATGTGAAGACACGTTCTCTTGAGGTCTTTTTATGGGGATTTGTTAATGTTTCAGTGGATTACTCAATCACACTTGACAGGCTGTTTTCTTGCCATTTCCTACAAGTCTTCTTACTCAAATACACAATCGCCTAGGGAAAAGCGCATATATCGACGCACATAATTTACTAACACCTACAGTATGATCATTTAAATGGAACTATCCCAAACAAACTCAGATTTTTGCATATTCAAACAGCTGCCTAGATAGTGACTTTACCATTCAAAACACTAAACAATTTGTATTCTATTTAAATTATATTATATTATTGTAATAGTGAAGTGGCAGCAAGAGGAGCTGTCCGTGGTTCTGAAATGCCATCAACTCAAACTAAACACTGATAAAAAACAACATAACATTCGTACCAACAAATGATTTGTAATACTTGAGTTAAAAACTGAACATAACTATGTAAGTATTGGTACTTTTATTCACAAATAAGTAAAATACAAATGTGTGAGATGTCTGTTGTTTTCTTCAAAATGATATGAATTGATTAGGAGGCTAATACTCCAAGGACTTCTACCAAAGCAGAAGCAATGCAAAGTCAAATGAGACTTTAGGATTTTGTCTCAGAAAAGTTACGTACCTCCGAGAATTACGCTGAAACCTCGTCCGGTGGCAGACAGTGAAAGTGTAAAATGAATTGCAGAAGGACTGCCGTCTCTTTTTTATCTCGCTCCTGTGCACCTTCTCAAGTGAAGCCCTTGGTTTTGTTGTGCTTCCCACGCAGGGGACAGACACGCAGGGCAGCGGCAGTGTCAAGCATTGGCCGGTGTTCTGCTCGGAGAGGGAGGTGAATGTGAGGAGCGCGAGAAGGGACCGACGGGAGAAGCGCGAGGGAAGCTTTAAATCCGCCTTACGTCACGAGAGAAAGCGCGCGAGAGAGAGAAGAGAGAGAGAGATGGAGACTTTTGATGTCTCTCTATTTTTCTCTCTCTCTCCCTGGTATCAGTGATCTCGATTTCTTTGGAACTTGGAAAATGAAACAATAACTCCGGCTTCTTCCTCAGTTGCCTTCAGTTCTCTCCTGGTCATTTTTGATCTTGGGTTACTTACCACGTTCTATCTATGGCCACTTTTTGAGGAAAAAAGCCAACAAAACAAGTCCTAGTTATTGGCATCAGGTTTGGGGGAATAAAGGGTTAAAACAAGCCATTCACTACTTTAAAAGCGAAACTTTCTTATTTTTAAGTCAGTTTTTAGTCATTTTTCAATCATGCACTTTGCTTTAGATCAATACTTTCAAAGCCTATCCCAGTTTCATACTGAATAGGTGGAGCAAAAATAAAGATAAGGTTGGCTAATTTCAAGGCAGAATCTGAGCTTCAATAGAAAAATGTAAACAAGCCAGCTGTAAAGTTCTCCATATGTTTTTTAATTAACACATAGTTTTCACACTGAATCAGTGCCAGGATTCAAGTTTTTTAAATTTTATTTCACTACAAGAGTGGGATTTTAGTGAAGAGAGTTAGTGCCACACAGTTTTCCATGTGTGGTTTGCTCTTTTCCTTACAGTGAAAAGTAAAATTCTTAAAAAATAAAGCCATTAAACATGAGTTATTGGCAGGAATAACCAATATCAACCTTCACATTTTTGTGATCAGCAACAAGTCTCAGATTAACATGCTGTTGCTATAGCAACTTGGGATGCATAAAGAGGGCTGGATACAGCGGCTCCTGTTCAGTCCTATGAGTTGCTCACTGGCACTGAGACACAGTTTTATTGCCAGGTATAAAATGTTATACCAGTATGTTTCGCATCCAGGCGGCTAGAGTCAGTTAAAGCTGGTTTTCTGAGCAGCAGTTCGTTGTGCAGAGGGAATTTACTCTGGTTTAGGCACTGATCTTAATGTAGGAACTAAATGTTTTATAAAAGGGGGATATTTAGATGCTTTATGGAATTCATTTACTCATAAGAAGAAGTAGTAAGAAGGGTAGTTGTAATTCAACCCTTTTGGCCACTGGGGGCTTATTTGCAAATTCAACTGGCATCTTCAATAGCAGTTGGACTTCAGAGTTTAACAGACATTAAACAACATTCAGAGCATTAAAAAGGTATTTGGTATTTAAATATATTATGGAATAATGGCATTTTGAGCAGAGGATGCTCATGGGAAACATTCCCTTTATTTACAACTGGCCAGCTGAAAGGGCCAATGTGCACGGCGCTTATACGACTCTGAATGTCGTTAAGCTCCTTTAACGATTTTGGTCCCTGAATGTAAAACTATATTATGAGAAGGATCTCTATAATTGCCTAAAAGAGCAACAATAATGATACAAAGACTGAAATAAGCAAACTGACAACTTCAATGTATACCTTTAAATACATTCATGTCAATGTTATGAAATATAGATGGTTGCCATCTTGTTGAACCATAAAAGCAGCATGTAACGTAAGTCTGAAACACCAGGTAAATGAAATGTCATATGACAATGGATGAGATGTTGAGATAGAAGGAGGTAGGGGGAGATTCAAAGCAGCAATATGGTAACCAGTTTTGGTTTCCAGGCAACAGCTGTTTGGCCACCTTTGTCAGTGGAGAACAGGTTGTCTTAATTCACAAGCTAAGGGGTCACAATAAGTGCCAAGTGACTAATTTCAGGGACCTAGTCAAACCGCTGAGGACCAAAACACATCTTAGAATAATTTGTGATTGTTTTCCATGATGGGTTAAACCAAACTAATTACATTTTCCACCTGAACAGAAGCGATGCACCACACAAACATTCAGTTATTTTTGTGAGCACGACCAAAAACAAAGCTGCACCCAAAAATATATCAGTGACCAGATGCATTTATTCATTCATACCCATGTGAGCCGAGAGGTTTCAATGTAATGAGACACCTGCCATTAGGAATATAAAAACATGAGAAAAACAGGATCTTACATAAAAGACCAACACAGCCCCCAACCGCCTACAGTCCCCCTGACCGGCAAACAGAGACAACACTGCTCTCATTTTCACATGCGCTCACGTGCTCGTTCACAAACAAACCTTTACTTTAATACCCTTGTAGAGACGCTGGAGAAAAGGTATTTTGATAAGCAGAAGAAACAAAGAAAATACTTGTTATGGAAGATGGTAAGGGAAAGGAGATGGATGTGGTTTGAAAGGCGGTAAAACGCTGGGCGGAAGGAGAGAAGAGGAGGAAAACCAGATTAAAAGTATCTGTGAAAGCTGACGAGAACATGGCAGGGACACATTTACTGTAAAAGCTTCAATTTGCTGACAAACGTCTACTTTTCTCTCAAGATAAGTCGTTTGAACCATTTAGAAACACCTACACACATTACTTCTGAAAAGGGTGGAGAGTGGATTGCTCACAAAAAGAGTAGTCACATAATCTGATAGAAGTGTCTGACCCACTGCACTTTAACTACTGTAGCGTTATACTGCCTCTGCATACTAATAATATTATAATAATTTTGTAATCACACAACTGAACGCTAATAGTGTTGAGAAATTAAGCAGAGGCATTGACATTTACATTCAAAATGTCATATTCAAGTGATTTTGTTTGTGTTTCTTTTGCTCACTTGCAGGGCTACCATTGAATCCATTGTTGTTATGTTTGGTATGAAGTTAAGGTAAGTTTGTGTTCAACAATGTTCAACAGTTACACAGATGTTACTTAGTCAATGTCTGTAAATATGATTAGGAAAATTAAAACAAATAAGAACACAGCATTTGGAGCTACAGTATATGAAGGGAGATGTACTACAGACATTATTTGACAAAAATGATTACCATGATATCTACGTTGGACTACAACCGTTAGAGGCATACAAATTCATTACAATCTTAATGTCACAAACCTTTGTTCTAATATTTGAACAAACATTACTAACAAGCAACCCTGTATCAATAAAGAGGCAAAATCCCCCTCCCAAAATCTCTAATCCATCTTTAAAATGTCCTTAGTTTTGATTTAAAGTGGATTTATCATGCTATATTTGAATAATATAGTGTAGGACCATACCTATATAAGGCATATTTATACTTTTTCTTTTTCAAAATACCAAACAGATCATGCATTTTAGCCATGCCTCATTTCGCTCAATTTGACATTTTTTAGATCTGTTTTAGCAAGGGTTGATTCTGTGAGAACATCACCACCTACAGGCCTGGCATATGTACTACAGCGTCTCCAGCGCTTTCGAACGGCAATGGCCGTGGCTGTCTCCTCCTGATTGGTGGAGTTGGCCCAATAGCCGTAGCGCCACCGTCCTGACGTCAGGACAGTGTTCAAATCTGGATCAGTTTTTATCAGATCCGCTGCAGCCCCTTTTTTAGAGATTTGGGTATGGAGGAAAATAGAGAGGGTTGTGTTTTCTGACACTTGGTGAGTTCCCTGGAACACCGGGGACACATATTCATGTATAAAAGACGTACAAAAGTGCATTTTGCATGATAGGTCCCCTTTAATAAAGATCTGTACCTGTATCCAATATGTAAGGGTGGTGGGAAACCAATAGAATATAGATAAAGGAAAGAAAATGCCATCCCTTATATATGCTGTGTACATAAAACATTGACACACTCACATTAACTACACCTTTCTTCGGGCCTAAAGCACACATATCGAGAGGATAGACACTCACTTCTCTTTACATTTCAGCTATCTGTATTGCAGTCTTTTCCCAGCACTCCAACAGTGCTGCAGGATTTGAAAATGAATTCATGTCCCGTTTTCTCCATACTCCCTTGAGTTCATTAGGTTTACAAAATTCAGTGAGAGTGTTTTTTTAATTCCCTGTTGTACACATTCTGTCCAAAAGGCACTGAAGCAGAAACCAATGTTCAGCCATTGTGTTGAATGTGTTTGTGCATTACAGGAAAGACAGTATTCCTCACATTTCCCATCTTCTGACACCTGTGGTTGAAAGCGGAGCGCTAAGAGTGTGACAGCGCAGAGAGAAAGTGTGATCGACAGAACAATGGGAAAAAGGGTGAGTAATGAGTGTAAAACAAACGTGAGGGAGACAGAAGAGGTGGGCGGGAGTGATGAGGACAATTACAAAGACGCAGGAAAGGAATAATAATACATTTTAGTGAACAAAATCGAGCACAAACATGAGGAGAAAAGTGCCAAAAGGAATCAAATCTGTCACATTTTGTTAATAAATAAATGTTTAATTTAGAACTACTGTACAAAATATCCTCTGACATGTCCAAATGCATTTAGACAAAACAAAATCAGTGTGCGGTTTTGTAAACTAAGGATGAGGTTAGATAAAACACACAATATAAAAGGCAGACAAAAGAAAAAGGCAAATGACCTGGATACACATTTACATGACATGTATGACTCGCATAATGACATTTGTTGATCCACATAGTTTTTGAGAGTTTTTGACAACAAAATACAACCCAGGCATGGCGCTATGTTTGAACAGAATTAATACAAAAACATCTCTGAGGTGGAATTTAAAGCATTATAATATGAAGGGATGGATTCAGCATTAAAAAAATCATAATACTGATAGAGTCAAAACAATTCAAATTATTTTGACATGTTCAAAATATACATATAATTGAATAGAATTAAAAAAAAGAATTGTAACTAAAATGTAAATAAAGGAAAATGACACACAGAACAAAAGAAAAGCACCATATACTGTAGGCAGCTTGTTGAGGCACATAATGAAGCTATTAAAACACATTACTTAGATTACAAATAAAAATAAACCTGCATGGTTTCGTACTTGTACATGACACCTAGGCTGTACATGCGCCATTGTCTTCACTATGG